AAAAATTGAAGTATATTTGATTTACAATGTTGTGTTAGTTTGTGGTATTCAGCAAAATGATTCAGTTATACATGTGTATTAGTTTTCATACTTTTTCACTGTAGGTTATTGTAAGATATTGAATATAGTTCCCTGTACTATACAGTAAGACCTTGCTGTTTATCTATTTTAAATATAGTAGTTTGTGTCTGCTAATCCCAAACTCTTAATTTATCTCCCCCCCTTCCCAAAGTACTATGCATTTTTTTCCTACCAATGTTTGTAGAGTATGGACTGTATGCCACTCATCATATTGATTGGTTTTCCCTACTTCTGTCTGCTTTCTAATGATAAATCTCAGTTTAAACCACCAATATCATCATCTGAAGGATCCCTGCACAGTCAACTGCATTTACTGGGTCATTGTTGTTCCCCTGGATAAACGGGCCCATGGTAGAGGGATAGTTAGATCTTTTCTTTGAGATTCATTTGTGCAGGACATGGCTGAGATGACGTAAATCATTAGTTTCCAGTTCAGTCTCAGGAGGTGCAAAAAACTGCAATAGCTGCTCTATGTCTTAAGACATCTCACAAGATGAATTTACCAATAATTGTACCAGCTACTAATATAGACACAGGACTTGCCAGGTGGCACTAGTGGTAAAGAACCACAATGCAGGAGACATAAAAGATGAGGGTTCGATCCCCGGGTCAGGAAGATCCCCGGGAGAAGGAATGGCAACCGACTCCAGTATTCTTGCCTAGAGAATCCCATAAACAGAGGAGCCTGGTGGGCTACGGTCCACAGGGTCACACAGAGTTGGACCTGACTGAAGTGACTTGGCACGCACTGATACAGTGCTCTAATCATGCTTAATCAGAAATCAGCTTTCTCTCTCCTTTTAAAAAATGTCTGTTGAAACTCTTCAAGTTGTACACTTCATTTATTTTTAATTTTTTGGGCATGTGGTATGTGGGATCTTAGTTCCCTGATCAGGGATTGAATCTGCGCCTCTTGTATTGGAAGCACAGAGTCTTAACCATGGGTCCACCAGGGAAGTCCCTCGGTTCTCTCTGTTAAGGTTAGCAGAATCTTTGTCAGGTTCTACTGATTGCTGTTCTCAAGAGCCATGCTTCCCACAGTGCATCCAACAGAGCCCCGGTTCCAGTTTGGTGAACAGCTCAACACAAACAGGGCATCCTGGTCCACGGAGTTTGAGGGGACTCTGCACACAGCATCTCCCTTTTGGCCAGTCAGGACCCACCTCAGAACACTAAAGGAGTCACTAAAGAAGTCCATTTATCTTGCTTACCTTGATGTTTCTCAAATTTTTGGCCCACAGAACGTTTTATTCCACCCACCCGTCTCCCTCCGTTTTGTAGGAAATTGGTTTTCTGTAGAACAGACTGCAGGAAAGGTTGGCAGCGGAAGCCTGTGAAGTGGCTTCAGAGAGTCACTGGGATCCACTGGGCTGCTCGCTGTGTGTTCATTTGTCCTCTCAGTTATGCTTGTCCATTACCATGGAAACACTTTCAGGGGCATTTAACGGAGGCAAAGAAGTCTCTTCTCTTCACATTTCTAACACACACACATACCCACACGCATAGCCAGGCTGTTTTCGGGAGCTACAATCATCTCTGAGAGGACTGTTGGCATGACCCTCCCCGCTCCGCACTGAGAGTCTATTTTCTCTTGCTGCGTCACAGTCGGTCATTTTTCGGTCAGCCCTGCCCCCACTTCCAATCACCACTGGCAGTCAGGATCTCTCTCCTCTCCTTTTTCCTATCTTTTTCCTTTCTTCTTGTACACACTGAACCTTGAGTTTGGAAAGGCACACCATTTAGAAACAATGCCCCTGCATCACAGTATTCCTTCTACAGAGCAAACTGAGGGCTAATGACATTTGTTTGCCTTTCGTCTTCAAGTCTTGAAGTCTTCCTATGTGCTGCCCCATGGCCGTGGGATGCTTTTTTGTTACCCAAGAGGGATTTCTGGCTCCTTCCTAGTCCAGAGGACTCCCATAGCTTCTCCTGATAGTAAGTCTCCCTCATGCCACAGATCACATGCACTTGAAATCCTATTAGTGCTGGAGGATGGCTGGGCTTGGTTTTCCACACTGACCCCGAAGGGAAAGTGTGGCTAACGCCATGTGTGAAGCTACCAAACCCTCCACCCCCACCCCAAGAAACAAAAAACGTGATGTACATCCAGAATTCTATGAGGCACATGCAAGAAGGCCATTCTTGATCTTTGGCTCAGGTATGTAGATAGAAAGCCTACAGCTCTTGACTATGTAATAAAGTAGAGACGACTGTGTTCACACCTCTAAAGCTATATCTAAAGACTGCTCCTATTGGTCCATTTATACACTGAGCACCATATCTATGTGCCGGGGCTGGAGAGAAGAGGTGGAACAGAGTGGTAACAAGGTGAGGTCTCAAAGGATTAATCTCAAAAATATACAAGCAACTCCTCCAGCTCAACTCCAGAAAAATAAATGACCCAATCAAAAAATGGGCCAAAGAACTCAACAGACATTTCTCCAAGGAAGACATACAGATGGCTAACAAACACATGAAAAGATGCTCAACATCACTCATTATCAGAGAAATGCAAATCAAAACCACAATGAGGTACCATTACACGCCAGTCAGGATGGCTGCTATCCAAAAGTCTACAAGCAATAAATGCTGGAGAGGGTGTGGAGAAAAGGGAACCCTCTTACACTGTTGGTGGGAATGCAAACTAGTACAGCCACTATGGAGAACAGTGTGGAGATTTCTTAAAAAACTGGAAATAGAACTGCCATATGACCCAGCAATCCCACTTCTGGGCATACACACCGAGGAAACCAGATCTGAAAGAGACACGTGCACCCCAATGTTCATCGCAGCACTGTTTATAATAGCCAGGACATGGAAGCAACCTAGATGCCCATCAGCAGACGAATGGATGAGGAAGCTGTGGTACATATACACCATGGAATATTACTCAGCCATTAAAAAGAATTCATTTGAATCAGTTCTAATGAGATGGATGAAACTGGAGCCCATTATACAGAGTGAAGTAAGCCAGAAAGATAAAGACCATTACAGTATACTAACACATATATATGGAATTTAGAAAGATGGTAACGATAACCCTATATGCAAAACAGAAAAAGAGACTCAGATGTATAGAACAGACTTGTGGACTCTGGGAGAAGGCGAGGGTGGGATGTTTCAAGAGAACAGCATCGAAACATGTATATTATCTAGGGTGAAACAGATCACCAGCCCAGGTTGGGTGCATGAGACAAGTGCTCGGGCCTGGTGCACTGGGAAGACCCAGAGGGATGGGGTGGAGAGGGAGGTGGGAGGGGGGACTGGGATGGGGAATACATGTAAATCCATGGCTAATTCATTTCAGTATATGACAGAGACCACTGCAATGTTGTGGGGTGATTAGCCTCCAACTAATGAAAATAAATGGAAAAAAAAAAAACCAACAAGGTGAGGTCTCCTATGTCCCTGTCCTCTTTTGTCTGAGTAGGGTGGGGAGTGGATTAGTCAGAATTTTCCATAGAAGCAGCACCAGTAGGATGTGACTACATATAGAGTTTTACAAGGAACTGGCTCATGGGATTATGGAGGCTGTCAAGTCCCAAGATCTGCAGAGTGAGTCAGCAAATTGGAGACCCAGGAAGCATGATGGCTTAAGTTTTCCCATCTGAAGCAGGTTTGAGACCCAGCAAACTGATGTTCAGTTTGAGTCCAAACACAGAAAAAGCTGATAGCCCCAGTTTGAAGGCAGTCAGGCAGGAGGAATTCTCCCTTACTCAGGGGAGGCTCAGGCTTTTTGTTCTATTCAGGCCTTCAGCCCGTCGGATGGGGCCCACGCACGAGTGTGCTTTGTCTAGTCTACTGATTTAAATGTTAATCTCATCCAAAAGGCATCCTCACAGAAAAGTCCAGAATAATGTCTGACCAAATATCTGGGCATCCCATGCCCTGGTCAAGCTGACGTATAAGATGCTTCACTGGAGGAAGATAAGACAGTAAATGTAATGAATAACTAAATTATATGGTATGTTAGCTGTTAAAAGCCATAGGGAAGAAAATAGTCAAAAGGGAATCAGATATATGTCCGGGATGGGTTTCAGTTTACATAGGGCCAGAGTCAGTCTCACAGTGAAGGTGACTTTTGCATAAATAGTTGGATGAGGCTTTAGCCATGTGGGTATCTGGGGGAGGCAGACACAACCACCACAAGAGGAAAGAACCAATGCCAAAGTCCTAAGGCTGGAATGTGTTTCCAGAGCTCAAGGACCGCCAGGCAGGACAGAGGAGGTGGATGACTGTGGGGAGAGTGGTGGGGTACCAGGTGGGAGGGGAAGTGGCAGCAAGAAGGGCAGAAATCACAAAGGCTGTTGAGAGGACTTTGGCTTTTGTCCTAAATGAAATGGAAATCACCAGAGAGTTTTGAGCAGAGCAATGACATGATGTGGTCTTCCTTTAGGAGAATCACTCTGGCTGCGGTATTGAGACCAGACTGTCAGAGGGTGGGATAAGGTGGAAGCAGGAAGGTCATATTTGAGACTTCGAAATAAGTTTCCATTTTATTTATTTATTAAAAAAAATTTTTTTTTTTGGCCATGATGCACGGTATGTGGGATCCTAACTCCCCCATCAGGGATTGAACCCGCACCCCTGCATTGTAAGGGCAGAGTCTTAACCACTGCACTGCCAAGTCCCAGAGGCTTCAGTAATTTGGATGAGAGATGAAGGTAGCTACGACCAGAGTGACTGTAGTGGAGATTCTGAGAAGTAGATTCTGGATTGGAGGTGGGTGACTGAGCAAAGGAGGAGTCCAGAATAACTCCTTGGTTCTGGACTTGAGCAAATTATAAGGATGGAGATGCCATCATCGGGATAAGGAGACAGTGCAGAAGGAACAGGATTTGGCAGGAAGGCCAGGAATGCCAGTTTAGGCACAGTTTATCCTTAAGCAACCCCTCCCGGGGCTACCACTCATTCCTGTATGATCTGTGATGCAGCTGTTGATGTCCTTAGCTTCCCCCTCCCTCCGCCAGCTGAGTCTTTTTCTGACGTCCACCCTTCAGTATGCCTTTGCTTCGGAGCATCTTCTCACACTCTCAGTTCAGTACAACACGTTGGATAAGTGAGCTGTTTCTCACATATGAGGATGGTGCTTTTGAACCCCAGTCAGCAAGGAGTGAGCTCTGTGCTGTTTCTCTCCCGGTGACGGGGCCTGTGCTGAGTCATCCACTCTGGCCGGCAGCAAACGTTTGTGAAGACAGTCACCATGGATTATGAGTTTGTTCTGTGGCTGGTGGTAAAATTATGTTTGTTAATTTCCCAGGCTAATTGCTCATTCTATCCTGAAACAAGCTGGCCCACAGAGCTATCCCATCTTTGGACCTGGCTTTATCTGTGCCATATTTTATCAAATGGGGGTAACGGATGGAGATGCACTGTTTAAGATGGCTGATCTGGGATAGACCCACTCATATGAGAGTACGTCGGAGACCTACTTTGCCTTTTGACGCCAAAGACAGTGGTTGTCACATAAGAGGTGAGTGAATGAATAAGCAAACTAATGTTGAAGTGACAAATAAAAATGAACCTTCTGAGAAAATCAGATATAATCTGGGTATCAGAAATAAACTTACCTATCTAAGATGTTAATAGTTTATCTTGTTTTGATATGTGTATTTCTTATTCTTAAGTGAAAAAAATTATCAGACATTTTCTTTTACATCGTCTTCTTTTTTCCTTCATAAGCTGTTTTTGGGGGGCTTGGGGTCCACTTCCCCTGACCTCATCATGCCTTTTTTGTTCCTGTGCATGTGTGCCAAGTCACTTCAGTCATGTATGATTCTTTGTGACCGTAGGGATTGTAGCTCACCAGGCTCCTCTGTCCACGGGACTCTCCAGGCAAGAATACTGGAGTGGGTTGCCATGCCCTCCTCCAGGGGATCTTCCCAATCCAGGGATCGAACCTGCATTTCCTGAGGTTTCTGCATTGCAGGCAAATTCTTTGCTGTTGAGCCACTGAGGAAGCCCTTTTTTGTCCCTATTATCTGTTAAAATGTTTACTGAGCACCTATTAAGTACCAGGTATAATCCTATGTATTTGGAATACATCAGTGAGAAAATAAGGACCTCTCCTCCAGCGTTTATAAGCAGTGAACAGACAGCAAACAATACACATAATAAATACATCATACTATAAAAAGGGAGGAGCTCAGTAAAAAGGGATTGGGTACTGGAGTTTTTAATTAATGTAAAAAGGCTTAAGTAGAACTTCTGGCTGGCTGAAATATTTGACAGATTATTTGGTTAATTCTGTTTGATCTAGCCCATCTGTCACATGCTAGCAGCTGATCAGAGTGGAATACGGAGCATCCAGGAGGGCAAAACAGCAACTAGAAGGGGATAAATGTTGCTTTCCCCCAACTGTCTAACTTGAATTCCGCCACTCACAAGCTGTATAGTTCACTTTCAATTCCAGACACTCTTGACCTTGGCACATGGTAGAGGATAAGATGCTTGCTGCTGATTAGAATTACAGAATAAAGTCCACCAGCTGCAGTCTCAAGTCCCCATTTGATCATTGTGCTGTCTTACCAATCTCAGTTTTTTATTTTAGGTTATTTTTTGTCAGCTCTGGGTCCTTCTGTTTTCCAGCCCACAAAGTTACTTTATGAAATATCATCTGTTCCTTGTTTTTTTCACAGTGACCCCAAAATAAAAAATTAAAATATGAATACACTGGCCAACATCATAAGAGAAGTTGATAAGTTTCAGAGAGGTAAAATATATAAACATTTTCCACAGTCGGTTTTAGATGATTTCTCTGAATATCTAAGAGGTACCTTTCAAGCATCAGCATTGCAAAGTACAAAATACAATTCTGCAAAGGACAGGCCAAAAGATCAAACTCTTTCCTTCCTCCTGGTACACGGAATGTTCCTCCCAGGATAAACATAGAGACAGGCTGGAGCTGAGCCACTGGGTTTTGGTCCTCAACAGGAGGCCATGTTAGGAACCCCACAAGTCTGGACAAGACTTTCCAGAGGGAACCAGTACTAAATAGTAGATACTGTGCTGCTGACTTGTTCAAAAGCCATTTCTCTTGTGGTTCATGGCAGCCATCAGCTTCATAAATTCTGGAATTAATTATTTAATATCAGTTTCCAGACTTGATGTTTGCAGGAGAGGACCACAAGCAAAAAACACATATTACCCTCTAGTGGCAGAAGGTCCTGTTTGCTGGGGATCAACTCTCTGGCATAAGGGGCAGCACAGCAGAGGGCCTGCACGGCTGGGCAAAGGTCAGTCCTGGATTCTGGTCTTGGTTCCGCCCCTTATTAACCAAGAGAACAATATCCACCTCACAGAACAGGTGTCAAGCAACAGGTGCTCCACAGTTGCTAATGCCCTTCCTCCCTACACTTTGCAGGGTATAATTTGAGGTCAACTGTGGTCACTCAAAGTGCACACTTGAGTGATGCACACCAGTTACTATTCAGTGAGATGCCACGATGGGACTGATACAACGGTCTCCACCTCTGTAGCTGCTAATTCTTCAGCTGGCTTTTGGACTATGGTCACAGTTATGGCCACAGAATCAGTAAGAGCAAACGTTTTTAGATCCCTAGCCTTTAATGATCCCATGTGATGGTATTAGGGACTCTTTTTAAGGAAGTACTCCTACGGTTTTTTTATGACATCCTGGCCATGTTTAAAAATTATTTATCTAGGTATTTTTCTCTTGAAAAAATTTAAATGATCAACAGTCACAAATTCCCAGAGTTTTACTTCATATCATTTTGTTGGATTTTTCTATCATATTGGTCCTTAGAATCTATCTGGCCACAAACATGGGCTTCCTAGGTGGTGCTAGTGGTAAAGAACCCACCTGCCAATGCAGGAGACGTGAGATGGGGTTCAACTCTTGAGTCAGGAAGATCCCCTGGAGGAGGGCAAGGACATGCACTACAGTATTCTTGCCTAGAAAATTCCATGGATAGAGGAGCCTGGTGGGCTATGATCCATAGGGTTGCAAAGAGTTGGACACCACCGAAGGGACTTAGCATGCACACACGCATAGGACACTGATGGATATGAGGGATGTTTAGGTTTTTAAGCTTTCACAGCATGACGGCACTGTGGATGGTGGGAACATGCATGTCCTCCTTCCATTCCTTCTTCCCTCATTCCCTCTCATCCTCAGAAGTCCCTGCACTATGTGAGGGCCTGGCAGAGCCTGCATGGAGGTGTAGTTTCAAGGGGACTTCCATATAAAGCTCTATGAACCTCTGGTTTCCGATAATAAAGGGAAAGAGCATTAAAAACAGGGAAAAGAAAGTAAGGTTGAGAAGTCCTGACTGCCATTCAGATTTTCATTTCAAAATGCCTATACTTTTTTGGAGAACTGTGAACTTATTATAATTAATAACTCCTTAGTTATCATTTGACCCTTTTCCAGGGTCAGTGGAAATCAACCAACAGCAAGAAAGCACTGAATACAAAAGAAGGAGTGGAGGGGAGGGAAGAGCTTGTCCTGCAGGAAAAGGACGCTGAGAAGGTGAGGTCCAAATCCGGCATGCCCATGGGATCCCAGGGCTAATCCTAGACCTGATCCATAGAACCAGCCTTGTGTTGGGTGAGTACCACAGGCTACCAAGTCTGGTGGGACAAAGCTGGGTGGGAACCAGAGACTTGTGCTCTGGACTGGGAAGAGCCCAGCTGATCACTCCGGGTCTCTGGCAAGTTCTGAAACTGAACATCTGTGAGCTTTGATCTCTCCATCTGTAGATAAGAGTATAACATTACTACCCTTGTGCTCTAGTGTGACACTGTGAAAATTAATAGGCGATAAAAGAATTTTGAGATTCTTAAATTAAAAGTTCCCTCATAAATATTCACACAAAATGCCATCAGTACTTAGGCCATTTATGTTAGGATTGNGGGTCCAAAGGAGCAACGGGATGTGGACCCTGGGAATCACACGCTCCACCCCCCATCTGTAACAGGGGCAACTCCAGCTGTCCACAGGCAGCTGCTGAGTGGTCCCAACACCATACTGTCGGGGTTTCTTAGAGAATTCTTCCCTGGGTGGGGAAGAGCCCCTGGAGGACGAAACGGCAACCCACTCCAGTATTCCTGCCTGGAGAATCCCAGGGACAGAGGAGCCCGTTGGAGGACCGTCCATGGGGTCACAAAGAGTCGGACTCAACTGAGAGACTTTCACTCAGACAGTTCTACGGAGCTGTCACATCACACCTCTTGGTCAGGTGCACATGCGTTGCTCACACTGTACCCAGTTCCACGTAAAGCTACCCCCACACTTGACTGACACAGCACATATGCTCAGTCCCATGTGGCTGCAGCTTGATTTTTCTATTTGTAAAACACCAGGGAAACATGTTAGACGGAGATGAAAAGCAAGGTGTTTACAAACTGGTAAAGAAATACGATATTTATCCTGTCAGTTGAAATTAACCCGGCAGATGTATTTTTGGTTAAAATGAAAATCGTGAGCCCTATCATGTTACCCCTGGCGATGCTGCCAGATGCACAGCGTGTGTCTGACAAAGAGGCACCCCTTGGTCATTTGAGCCAGGCTGTGGTTTCCAACAATTCATGACAGGGGAGCTCATTACAAGGGCTTGCCAAAAGGGAGGGGCGTCAAGTATTGAATACACAGAAGCAGACTCATGAAAAGTGGTACAGAAATAAATCTTTTCTACCTTTCCCGACCCACAAACATCCTCACTGTCAGGGGAGCGTTCTGGAAGGAAAACAAATGGAATCAATTACCTTCAATTTTGGTCTGCAAAAATGGTTCCCAATTCAGACTAGCAGACAAAGTGCTTCCACGGACATAGGCATGGGAATGGTTCTGAGTTTCCTACTATGCTCGCTGGACTTGTCTTCCCACTGAACTTCCATAACTCCAAATAGAAGTGGCCTGCATGTGTCTGGAAGACATACAGGAAAGACACAGCGGAGAACCTATATGGGGCTTTTTCTAGGATATGCTCTTCTGGTTTTATTCAGGCTCCTCTAGTATATAATTTATTAGGATGGTCCACTTTTCTTATAACTGAACAAGGAGCTGGTGGTTCCTGATGTGAAAACAATACTGCGGCAATCCCAGAGGAAGATCTCTAAACTGTCTATAAGGCTAGCCTATCTAAGGACTCTGTGATCCAGCGATGGAGGCTGGATATCTGAGAATGTTACTTTGAGGGGTCCTGGGGCTCCATGAAGCTTTGAATTTCCATCCTTTCATACCTTCCCTTTATGGGCTACTATTTGGTTCTCTGGTCCAGGTGCCCAAGGCTATCTCATCCCATTCCAATAATGAATTAAATTGGATGCTTTGTCATCATCTTGTCTGTACCCAATAGGGCGAGTCAACTGTTGGTTATGTCTCCCTGAAGTGTGGCCACTTGCATACCAACTAAGTCCTTTACATTGACATGTATACATATGACATCTTAGGATGCCACAACGATCCTCACAGAACTGTCTGTAAGAATTGGAAAACAAAGGAGGGAAAAGAAGAATTAAACAAAAGAGCTATATGCTGTGTACCCTGGGGTACACAGATTTTTTCTTAGGAGAAAAATCTGGGGGATAGTAACCCCTTGCCAATAAAATGATCTGAAAAAGAGAAACAACATGATATAAAAATGGGGACTTTTCTGGGGGTCCAGTGGTTAGGAATCTGCCTTCCAATTCAGGGACGCAGGTTCATCCCTTGGTCAGGGAACTAGGATTCCCCAACTCAGTACATGTGCCACAACTAGACAGCCCATGTGCTCTGGAAGCCATGAGCCACAGCTAGAGAGAAGCCCCATGCCACAGTGAAGAGCCATGCGCTGCAACAAAGACCCAACGCAGCTAAAGATAAATAAATACTTAAATAACTTTAAAAAGATTCAACAAATACGTATGATAAATTTCATAAAGAATAAATAAGTCAAAATCCCCAGTTAACAGACCAAGCTCTATGTAATAGTTTTGCAGCTTCAAAGGGAATGAGCAAAAGCCCCATGGACCTGGGACTATTCACACAAACACATCTGAATGAGGGAAATGAAAGACTCCTTTTATTTCCTGAAAGGGAATGAAAGTTTATTTAGTTAATAATAAAATAGATAGGAGCAATTAAAATGTTTTTCCCTGAAATACATTAATGTTAAAGTGTTAAGAAGTAGACCACTTAAGCTTACCTTTCAGCCTAGCTTAAAAAGAAATAAAAAGTTTAAAATCCACCACAGAAAACAGAGAAATGAAAAAAAAAAATCAGTAAATGACTAAAGGTAAAGTTACTTGGACTAAAGGACAAATAATGCATCAAAGAATAAATGTGAACAGACGAAACTTGCTTATTATTAACACAAAAGAAGCTATTGATGGAATTAAAAAATAAAACTCAACAATCTGTTGTTTAAACAGAACACATTTAGCACCATGCCAATTATGATAGATAGGATGGGAGAGGACTGTCTAAGATTTAACCCACTTGAAGACAAGAGCAGAGATCCCTGGGCTTCTTCCTGTGTTAGATGCAATTTCACAGACTTGAATCCTACTTATCTTGCAAGACTTGGTTCGAGGGGCCCCTTCTCTGTGACTCCGTCTCCAACTTCTCCAACCTTCAGGCAGTGTTCAAGACTGCCACCTACGAGGGCCCATCAGCTCAGCAGAGATTACAATGTACCCCCTTTAGACTGATCTTTTGCTCTCATAAGACTTCGAACTCTTGAAGAAAGCAGCTCTTGGTGTTTCCAAGCACAGCTAATCAAATTATGGAATGTGATATATCTATTATAATGACAAAGGTATGGATTAGGAAGAGGACATTTCAGGTCCATCATTCTTTCCCCAGAACTTGGTCCACCAGTGTGACTGGGATATTGGATTTGTTGTGGGAGAGGAGTTTTGGGGAGAGGATTCACATGTACAAGCAGTGCAGTGCAAAGGGCCTTGAATGCCATCCTATGGAGCCTATAGACTTGATTGCACAGGTCATGGGAAACAAAGGCAGGATTCCAGACTAATTTTGTTTTCTATTTGTTCACTTTGTTTTATAACAGTACCTATGATGAGAGAATGGGGAACAGGTTGGAGAAGTTTTAAGGCAGAGAAATCAGTCTTAAGGGGCTAAACCAATAGTGTTTGTCAGTGAGTGGTGGCATTTTTTTTTCTTTTTACATCTTTTTATTTTAGTTTTTTAAAAGGCATGCTTGTAATACCTTTACTTAAAAAATTTAAAAAGCAGGTGATCTTTTTGTATCTTCCCCCTTCTTTCTCTCTTCTTTCTCTTTTCAACTTTTTTTCACCTTCCTTTATCCCTTCTTCCTCCTCCTCTCCTTTCTTCTCTCTCTTCTTTCTTTTTTACTTCCTTTGCTCTTTCTCATCCCCCTCCCCTCTTTTTTTTCCTGTACTAGGGCCCTGGGAACGGAGCCTAGGTTTTAGATCCTGTAGATTCTTGTGGTCAGAATGTTGTCAGGATTCAGAGATGGGTTAGACATGAGGGGGTGAAGAAAAAGAAGTCAGGTGATGGGGCGGAGTGTTTGGAGTTCCAGCACCTGAGACGAAGAACCAGAAGGGAGAACAGTTTCTGTGTGTGGCTCTGAAAGAAGTGCACCTGCAGCTCACGCAGGGTTAATCCAGACCCAGGATTCAGGAGTAAGGCCTGGAGTCTGGACATGGACAGTTGGCACCACTAGTGATGGGCACTATCAGGGACATGGCTGAAATCGACCCGGGACAGACTGTACTCAAGAAAATCCTCTTTGGCTGACAAAGAATGAAATTGTGAAGGAATGTATATATTTAAAGGGCAGAAGAAGGAAGAGAAGTCAGACAAAGAAATTAAATGAAACAGACAACTTAGAAAGAATAAAGTTCACTCCCAAGGGAAGGAAAAACTCTGAGGAGAGGGACGGTCATTGATAAAAATTCTTTACAGAAGGTGAATGGAATGAGGACAATTAGGAAGATAGCACGCCAACGAGAAAGGCTTTTCTGGTAAAACGATAAGGAGAGAGGACAGATGACAGGAGACTGAACAGTGATAGAGAAGTGACAGAGAGGGAGGACAGAGTCTTCCTAAGACATTTGCTAGCAAAGGGAGGAAAGAGATGGTGCAGGTGGTCAAGGAAGCCGTTTTTATTTTTTTAAAGGAGAGAGAAACTTGATTTGGTTTGCAGATTAAACAGGAGTCAGTAGGGAGAGAAAGAAGGGAATGATTGATTAGATAAGTTTCCAAAGAAATTAGAAGGAGGTCAAATAAATAAGAAAACTTATAATGGTATCAGATTAAAAAAACTATCCTGAATAAAACTCCATGAAGGATCATTATAGGATTGCAAAAGACACAACCTATCTAAAATAGCAAATATTTATGTCCCAAGCAACATAAAAAATATATATGATAACAGCGAGGACGTTGCAAGAAGAAATAAAGCTAGTAATTGCATAACAAACTCTGCTCAAAATATGCCTGAATAAAAAACAGAGATAAAGCTGAACAAAGAAGAGGAACAAAAATGGAAATTGAAATAATCAATATATGAGACAACCTGAATGACAGAATTAAAAATATTTTCTTTTCAATAGAAATAGGTCTAGCACCAATATCTATCACATATGGGAGACAAAGTCATATTTAATAAACATATACCCATAGCATTCATGTTGTTGTTTAGTTGTTAAATTGTACCCAACTCTTTTGAGACCCCATGGACTGTAGCCCACCAGGCTCTTAGGATTTCCCAGGCAAGAATACTGGAGTGGGCTCCCATTTCTTTCTCCGGGGAATCTTCACAACCCAGGGATCGAACCCATGTCTCCTACATTGGCAGCCAGATTCTTTACCACTGATCCACTAGGGAAGACCAACAGTACTCATAAATATTAGAAAAACAATATCAACTTAATTCTATTTAAGCAATATTATATGAGAAAAATTTTTTCTTATAAACAATATCAATAAAAGAGGCAAGCCATGACCAACCCCTGTGGGTTACATTTCATTTAGAATTTGACCTCTTGAAACAATCCTTTCACCCCATCTCTTCAGTATTTCTCCCTAAGCTTAGCTGAGGACATTGGAGGGTGTTTGTACTGCATAAAGACTGATTATTATTTGATGATCTTTTCTACTCATTCTACTTTATAAATACAAAAAAATGTTTTATATGTACAGGCTAACATTTATTGGAAAATAGAATAAAATATTAAGATATGGATCATAACAATCTATGATCAACCAAAAGTAACTCAAAAATAGAAGAATGCCCAATTAAATAGTGTTGTATATAATTATTGGATACGGTATATGTCCCTTAAAATTACACTATTAAAATTTGCTTGATATGAGAAAATGTGAATATTTAATTATGTTCCATGGGAAAAGCAGAAAAAATACTTTGACATAGAACTGAGGAGGGTGTGAAATAATGTAAGTCATTTGAGCATAGTGTTTATTACCTTTAGAATGTCTTAAATTCAGTTTTTAAAGAAAAAAAAAAAACAAAATTAGGGACAAAATGGAATGATGTTCATCCTCTTTGAGGTCAAGAAAATAAGAAGGTCATGGAAATTTCAGCAAATGTGCTCTTTTTAAATGAGCTAAATCCATCTTGAAGTCCCATTATCAGTGAAATAAATGTTCCACATAGGAAAAAAACAAACAAGACTAAAACCACATAAAACCTTTCATAGCAAAAAAAAAAAAAAAGATCACAGGTGAAATCTGTGATGACACTCACACATAGGCAGCTCTTATAAGCCAATTATCTTGATGTTCAGGTAGGAAGAACATAATTTAATTAGCATTTTAAAGAAAATTAAAAGGAACCAAAAAGCCAAACGAAAGACAGACTGAGGTGATACATTCATAATTAGAATTAGAAAAACCTGGCATTCAATTTTTTTTTTTGCTTTATTGAGGGATACCAGACAAGTAATCTCTCTGTGCTTTATTCCTTATCTATATGGAAATAATAACACTTATTTTTATAGACCCGGAGATGATTATGCTAAGGTCCTCCTATGGTCTTAATGCGCATGAATCTTCTTTTTGCCAGAGAATACCTATCCAATAAGTACAGAGAGAAGACTCTCCTCTTCTAGTTGCACTGAGATTCTCTCACTGTAAAAAGCAATTGGGGCTGACTTTCCATGTACTGTTTATTTCCACAAACACAAAGATAAGAGAAGGTTCCCAGGTATTCATTTAATAAGTGATCTGGGAGGTTGGGTACATGAGACAAGTGCTAGGGCCTGGTGCACTGGGAAGACCCAGAGGGATCGGGTGGAGAGGGAGGTGGGAGGGGGGACTGGGATGGGGAATACATGTAAATCCATGGCTAATTCATTTCAATGTATAACAAAAACTACTGTAATGATGTAAAGTAATTAGCCTCCAACTAATAAAAATAAATGGAAAAAAAAAAATAAGTGATCTGGGGAGAAGGTCTTAATCATCGTGAATGTCTAGGGCTCTGGCGGCTTTAGATCGTTAACTCACTCAGTCTCTTACTGAGCACCTACTATGGCCACTGGACACAGGGCTGGGTGTTCATCACTCGGCAGTACTGAATAATCACATTCTATTATATTAATCCCTCCCTGGTACTGACTGGCAGTCACTGAAGGCATTACTCACAACCTAAGTCAACAATCAAACTGTTGTGGTGCCAGGGGCAACCTAAGAACATGATGAGTCAATCAATCTAGGGAAAACAACGAAGTTTAGGGTAACCTGGCTGGAAATAAAGATATTAATAGCAAATCAAAGGAAATGAAGGTGGTTTCACGACATGTAATAACACCACAGAAGGCCCTGTATTTCACAGTTTCGCTCCTTTATCGCTGCCTTCTTACGAATTAACACCTACTTTCTAACACTTTCAGGGCCTTGGGGCTACAAATGACGGACAGAAACACAGAGAAGAGAGTCAGCGCAGAGTGGTTGAGGGCAGTCATGTGCTAAAAAGTCCCCAGGAGCAGAGCCACGTGCCTGACTGGCAACCTCCTCTCTCCCTCCTGACTGATATGAAAAAGGAGACGTGCGGATCCTTCTCGGCTCTCTTTCTTCCCGTTGCTCTTCTGTGACTCAACCAAGAGGGTACTCCAATCCATACCAAAGACATCTCCAGATACCAACAAAGGAAAGTTGACTGGAATGATCAGAAACAAAAGTCCTGTCTCAAACACAGATCACTGAATGCTGTGACTCTTCGGTTGCTTGGGCTTCCCCGGTGGCTCAGCGGTAACGAATCTGCCTGCCAAAGGAGGAGACGCGGGTTCAATTCCTGGTCCAGGAAGATCCCCTGGGAAAGGAAATGGCAACTCACTCCAGTATTCTTGCCTGGGAAATCCCATGGACAGAGGAGCCTGGGGCGCTACAGTCTTTGGGGTTGCAGTCTGACACGACTTAGCAACTGAACAACAACATTAAAAAAAAAAAAAAGATGATTCAGTTTCAGTTACAGTATTAGAAAATTACAGAATGATTCTGAATGTCTCTGTCCCAGACCAGAGAAATCCTGTCAAAAGAGGAGGAAAGGCAAGAGTTCTCATTTTCCCACAAAACGTATTTTAACGATAATGAATTATCCAGTATATCTCTAAAAAAGATCCTTCCAATTCTAAAAACGTCAAGTAAAATTTTTATTGATGACTATTTACCTTAGCCATTATCAGTTTCAGATAGGTAACCTATGAGATATATATATATATTGCCCTGTATTTCACAGTTTCGCTCCTTTATCGCTGCCTTCTTACGAATTAACACCTACTTTCTAACACTTTCAGGGCCTTGGGGCTACAAATGACAGACAAAAACACAGAGAAGAGAATCAGCGCAGAGTGGTTGAGGGAAATCATGTGCTAAAAAGTCCCCAGGAGCAGAGCCACGTGCCTGACTGGCAACCTCCTCTCTCCCTCCTGACTGATATGAAAAAGGAGACATGCGGATCCTTCTCGGCTCTTTCTTTCCATTGCTCTTCTGTGACTCAACCAAGAGGGTACTCCAATCCATACCAAAGACATCTCCAGATATCGATAAAGGGAAGTTGACTGGAATGATCAGAAACAAAAGTCCTGTCTCAAACACAGATCACTGAATGCCGTGTGACTCTTCGGTTGCTGGGGCTTCCCCGGTGGCTCAGCGGTAACGAATCTGCCTGCCAATGGAGGAGACGCGGGTTCAATCCCTGGTCCAGGAAGATCCCCTGGGAAAGGAAACGGCAACCCACTCCAGTATTCTTGCCTGGGAAATCCCATGGACAGAGGAGCCTGGGGCGCTACAGTCCTTGGGGTTGCAGTCTGACACAACTTAGCAACTGAACAACAACAACATTAAAAAAAAAGAAAAAAGATGATTCAGTTTCAGTTACAGTATTAGAAAATTACAGAATGATTCTGAATGTCTCTGTCCCAGACCAGAGAAATCCTGTCAAAAGAGAAGGAAAGGCAAGAGTTCTCATTTTCCCACAAAACGTATTTTAACGATAATGAATTATCCAGTATATCTCTATAAAAAGATCCTTCAAATTCTAAAAATGGCAAGTAAAATTTTTATTGATGACCATTTACCTTAGCCATTATCAGTTTCAGATAGGTAACCTATGAGATATATATATATATATATTTTTTTTTTTAACTGAGTGGCATATGCAGTTAAAATTCATTTGTAGTTGTTGCTCAGTCGTGTCCAGCTCTTTTGCAGCCCATGGGCTGTAGCCTGCCAAGCTCCTCTGTCCATGGGATTTCCAGCAAGAATATAAGAGTGGGTTGCCGTTTCCTTCTCCAGGGGATCTTCCTGACTCAGGAAGGATCGAACCCACATCTCCTGCGCCTCCTGCATTGCAGGTTTATTCTTTACCACTGAGCCATCACGGAAGCTCTAAAATTCATTAGGGACTCAAAGTTAACAGTATATTTATAACCTCTTTATAGGACTTGGAGCTACACTCCCCCCGTTTTAGATAATGATGATGTTTGGCTGTACCTTGGTTTTTATTTTGTGTAGTTTGCCCTCTCTGTGCATCATTTGCTGTCAGGGTGGTAACATGTGAAGTTTCAAATTATAACCTTGCTCCTGTTCCAACTTATGACCTTCCAAAAGGAATACCGAACACATTCAACTGTAAGCTATCCAGCCAAAGAAAATGATGGGACTCCTGCTGTTTGAACCACTGAAATCCAATTTGGGTGAGGCGCTGCCCATTATCCTATATAGGGAATCCAGATGGACGAAGATGGGATCAAGCCTGAAGTTCTGCACCGCAGTCACTTTGGTTCTAAATGCGAAATTACCAGTTTTAGAGGACTGATGCTGGACACTCACAACAACGTCACTGCCTCAAGAAAGTACCACTCTTCACATTTACATGAAAACTCTATATAGGGAAATCTAATTAGAATATTTTTCAACAGCATTTAAATACCAGGCCAGCTGGATCTCCACAGCCCATGTGAATTGAATCAGCACACTTCTCAGAACCTATATTCTATCATCACTGAATGCTTGAGCTACATCTGTCACCCAAATCTGGCCATGCTCGTTTCTTGTCATTCACTCTGAACATCCAGAAACAAAACGTTCGGTGGTAGCCTCAGAGGCACGCGTTTTGTGAAAGCGTGCAGTAGTGAAACGGCATCCTTGAAATGAAATGCCTTCCTGACCCCAGGCTCCTTGTTCTTCCTCTAACTTTCCCTTTTCCAAATTCCCCTGAAGAATACTTTTTCAAGGCAAATCTGATGTGGCTGATCCACAACTTACATTTTAGCAGTTATACCCTCAGCTGATATTTCAATCCATACTATATAAATCTCCAAATATCAAGTTCTTTTTTTTTTTTTAAGATAACAGTACCACTAAGTAAAAATGTCATTTCACTCTGTTCTTCCGTTTCTTTCCTCTACTACTGGAATCTATTAACCTAGCTTTTATCCCTCAAACCAACCCAAAGTGTCAGAAGCCGGAGCTGGTCTTTTTTTAATCAAACTTGACATCAAATAAAATATAGTTAAGACCACAGCGTTTCATAAAAGCAAAGACACATCAACTCTCAAGCTCCCTGAAGCTCTTAGAATCGTGTTGAGGGGATGGAAAACATGCACAAAAAGTAACGGTGGAATGTTTCTAAAATGACATGTAAACAAGTTAATTCTGTGTTGACAGAAACTACTATAAAGGTGCTGGGAAGTTCAAAGCTATAAAGAGACCAGCAGAAGGCATGTTGAATGTGTTCCTTAATACAGGAGAGTGGGTGGGAAAGTTCAGATAGTGGTCATGGTGGTAATGAGGGCAGTAATTACAAAGATAAGTGCAAAGTACAGAAATATATGAATCATGATAAATAACATCACCCAGACCCTATTTTTCCAAAGTGTTTTCTCCTACAAATGAGCTAATGGTAGATGCAGAAATGCCAAATGCTGTGACTGCTATATAGCAGGGGATCCAGTAAATGTTTGGTTAAAAAAAAAAAAGACCAAGAAATAAATTAATAGAGTGGAGGAAATTAAGGAGGGCTGGAATATGTAAAGTAAACAGGGTTTAACAAAGATCTGAAGTAACTACTTAAGAGTACCTTACCTAATAAGCGATTCCAGATATAGAAACACTAATCCTGGCAGCAGTTAATCTACCAAAAACCTGACAAGAACATTCTTTTTTCCTGTTCAGTTTATGAAAAGAGGTAATCGTCCAGGAAGGAGTACATTCTCTAGGTGTTTGCTGCCAGCTGGGGGGAAGCAAAGTGAGAAACAGAAGGGGTAAATCATGTGTGTGCTTTCTTCTCTCCATTAGTTTGGGAAATGCATCTTCACTAAAAAAAAAATTGTCATCAGTAAGACACTCTCTTGTTCAACTTAGGAGAGGGGCTGGAAGATATTAAGTGGTGAATATGGGTCTTTATTATTCTGGCAATGTTGGCCTGTTCATGTTCAAAATTTATGTTTTAAAATCTCTGGAAGGCAGAGTGCATTTCAATTAGTGAGACTACAGTAGTTTGTCTTCTCCTAAAAATAATTATGTAAAATTTATTCTGAGTTATTTGTAATTTTAGTACTTAGGGAAGTGTCTGCATTTTCAATTAAGAGCTAAGTATACAAATTAAAAGTGCTGCACAGTGTAGCTTAAATCCAGTCCTCACTGGCTGGTGCACATAAACACTAATATCAAATGATGGTTTTGTCATGTGATCCAACCCGCAGCACATACAAATATAGAACATGACCATAAAAAGTAATGGACCATGCCCTCTGCTAAGTAATTTATGACAGCGGATCCAGACTGGAATGCCAGCTGGAATTACCTTCTCCCTGTCTGCTATTTTCGCATATACAGCTTTGTACAGATGATAGAAGCTACGTCTTGCAGAGAGGACTCATGTCAAGGCTGCTGAAATGATGAACAAGTAGCAAATCCAAAGGCTAAAACATGTTTGGCTTTTAAAAAGATTTGTTGAACGATGTCAATAACCTATTTTAAAATTAATTTTTGAATCAGGCTGTAAGAGAAACCTGTAACCCCACCAATTTTGAAATATCAGATTTATGGTTTCTAGCAAACAGATAGGAAGCTTCACAGTGGAGAATGAAAAATAGTTGAGAATCATGTTATGAAAAATACAATGTGATCCCAAAACTTGACTAAAGGGAGAATGAAAAATTCCCTAGCCATATACATAGCCCTAACCTCTTTGCAGAATTTGCCATTGAGGCAGTCTGGAACTGTAACAAACTTAGTATGAAATAGTGGATAAAACAAAGGATATTATCCTTCTTTATTAACCTTTACCCCCTTGGATAATCCCCTAAATCCCCTGTGTGTGATAACCACCTCACTTCCTTTGGGCAGCCATTCATTATCTAATTCATGTCTTACACAAAGAGAAATGAGCTAATGTGCCTTATCAGATTAAAAAAAAAAAATAGTCACCATGAGTGATGTCCAACGGGACAGGATCTTAGCAAATCCCTTCTGCCTCCATAGTCCTGGGTTTCTAAATGCCTATAAAGCTACTAACTCACGGCCACAGCTCACAGGCTCATTCACAGCTTTATGTTGCTAAAGCAAACAGTCTGGGCTGAAGAATGACAGCATTACCCTCCTTTCTGATTATCCTCCTCTCTGCATCCTGATAAACTAATGATTTGCTTTCCTGTTGGGATTCAGCCCCGACTGGGTAGCTTCAAGCTGTCAACTCAAGCAGACCCTGATGATATCACACAAACCTCTTCCTCTCCTTCCTTCCCGGGTGCTTCATTCTTCATGAACCA